ATATTTTCATTTAATCTTTTTAGGCCTCAATTTCTAACATTTTTCTGGTTGATTCTTTTTATAATTTTTAATTTTTGTGGATACATAGTAGTTATATTTATGGGGTATGTGAGATGTTTTGATACAGGCATGCAATGTGTAATAATCATATCATGGAAAATGGGGTATCCATCCCCTCAAGCATTAAACCTTTGTGTTACAAATATTTTCATTATACTCTTTTAATTATTTTTACATATACAATTTAATTATTATTGACTATAGTCAGCCTGTTTTGCTATCAAACATTAGGTATTATTCATTCTTGCTAAATTGTTTTTTTTTGTACACATTAACCATACCCACCTTCCCCACTACCCGCCACTACCCTTCCCAACCTCTGGTAGCCATCCTTCTACTCTCTATCTCCATGAGTTCAAAGGTTTTGATATTTATTTGTTATTTATTTGTTTATTTGTTTGTTTTTGAGACAGAGTCTTGCTCTGTCACCCAGGCTGGAGTGCAGTGGCAGGATCTCGGTTCACTGCAACCTCCACCTCCTGGGTTCAGGCGCTTCTCCTGCCTCAGCCTCCTGAGTAGCTGGGACTACAGGCATGCACCACCACACCCGGCTAATTTTTGTATTTTTAGTAAAGATGGGGTTTCACCGTATTGGCCAGGCTGGTCCCGAACTCCTGATCTCAAGTGATCTGCCCACCTCAGCCTCCCAAAGTGCTGAGATTACAGGCGTGAGCCACTGTGCCCAGCCGGTTTTGATTTTTAGATCCTACAAATAAGTGTGAATATGCTATGTTTGTCTTTCTGTACCTGGATTATTTCACTTAACATAATGATCTCCAATTCCATCCATGTTATTACAAATGACAGGATCTCATTCTTTTCTTATGGCTTAATAGTGTTCCATTTTGTATGTATACCACATTTTCTTTATTCATTTACCTGTTGGTGGACACTTAGGTTGCTTCCAAATCTCAGCTATTGTGAACAGTGCTGCAATAAACATAGGAGTGCAGATATCTCTTCAACATACTGATTTTCTTTCTTTTAGAAATATACCCAGGAGCAGTATTGGTGGATCATACGGTAGCTCTGTTTTTAGTTTTTTGAGGAACCTAAGTGTTCTGTATAGTGGTTATACTAATTTACATTCCTGCCAACAGTGTACAAAGGTTCCCTTTTCTCCACAACCTTGCCAGCATTTGTTATTGTCTGTCGTTTGGATATAAGCCATTTTAACTGGTGTGGGATGATACCTCATTGTAGTTTTGATTTGCATTTCTCTGATGATCACTGATGTTGAGCACCTTTTCATGCGCTTGTTTGCCATTTGTATGTCTTCTTTTGAGAAATGTCTATTCAGATCTTTTGCCCATGTTTTAACTGGATTATTAGATTTTCTCCTATAGAGTTGTTTGAGCTCCTTATATACGCTAGTTATTAATCTCTTGTCAGGTGGGTAGTTTGCCAAAATTTCTCCCATTCTGTGTGTTGTCTCTTCATTTTGTGATTGTTTCCTTTGCTGTGCAG